GCATAATACCACAAAGCCACGGTGCATTCACTATAAAGTTAGAGATTCTAGAAGTTTTTGGGGTTATTTTTTGTTCACTTTAGAATGCCTTTTACTGAACTCTGAAAGCGGTTAGCCCACCCAGCCCCAGCGTGAAATAGCAGAGGGCTTGCAGCTGGTGCGTTGAATGAATTCTTCCCTCAATCAATAGGCTGCCTTATTTCCTCCTATCTGATAGTTTGAAACGCAGCACAAATCACTTTCAGCTCAGAGACACAAATTGAAACGTACTCGAATAGCAATTCCAGCCGTCACTTATGGCAGCAATCAAATTGTCAACGGCTGGGTCGCTCTAACCCCATTGTAGGTGACCGTTTCCAAGAACCAAATTCAATTTCCTAAAAAAAGACACAAAGAATATCTCAGTCCGAAGTCGGCAACTTACACATTATTTTCATTTTGTTTCTGCAAATTAGAGAGCATTTCGAAGAAAGTCTCACAGTAAGGATCTCGCACACTGGGTCACAAAGTATTTAATCAGTGATTCCTTCATTGGCTTTCCTGCAATTTGCCTAATTTCAGGTCACATGTATTTAAAGGGGCACTATAGTCACCACAACCACTACAGCCTAATGTATGGTGTACAGCTTATTGTACGGTATACAGCTTAATGTACGTATACAGCTTATTGTACAGTATACAGCTTATTGTACGGTATACAGCTTAATGTATAGTATACAGATTAATGTACGGTATACAGCTTAATGTATAGTATACAGCTTAATGTACGGTGTACAGCTGATTGTACAGTATACAGCTTATTGTACGGTATACAGCTTAATGTACGGTATACAGCTTATTGTACGGTATACAGCTTAATGTACGGTATACAGCTTATTGTACAGTATAAAGCTTAATGTACAGTATACAGCTTAATGTACGGCGTACAACAATGTACGGTATACGGTATACAGCTTAATGTACGGTATACAGCTTAATGTACGGTGTACAGCTTAATGTACGGTATACAGCTTATTGTACGGTATATAGCTTATTGTACAGTATACAGCTTAATGTACGGTATACAGCTTAATGTACGGTGTACAGCTTAATGTACGGTATACAGCTTATTGTACTGTATACAGCTTAATGTACGGTGTACAGCTTAATGTACGGTATACAGCTTATTGTACAGTATACAGCTTATTGTACAGTGTACAGCTTAATGTACGGTATACAGCTTATTGTACAGTATACAGCTTAATGTATAGCAGGCCCAGACTGGGGAACAATTCGGCCCAGGCGTTTTTGAATCACAGAGGGCCACTGAGAAGTGGGCCGGCCAGAGAGTGTGGGTTTTGTCATCACCAATGACAAGCACGCCCCCTCTAAAGTGCATGTTGGTTCCATGCTCACAGACCCGCTGAAGAGCTCTTGAATGAAAAAAGGCCCTGAATTTGTTCTGCGCAGCGCAAGAAAATTTATTAACATGCTTGCACTGTGTTTGCTTGTGACATGTCTCAGGTGTCTGTATAAGAGGGATACCAGAGGACAAAAGTGTAAGTAAAGTGTATTGAACATGTGTTTAGAGCCTGCTTGTGGGATTGAGTGTGTGTACAGTTAGTTAATTGTGGTGTTTTGTGTAAATGTTGGTTTCAGTTGTGCTGTGTTTGTGGTGTAATATGTATGGCTAGGGGCTGTAGAGAACAAAAGAGTGGGAGTATAGGTGATGTAGCGAGTGTGTGCACAGGGGCTGTATTGTATGTGTGTATAGATGATGTAGTGTGTGTAGGGGCTGTATTGTATGTGTGTATAGATGATGTAGTGTGTGTGAGGGGTGCTGTGTGTGTGTGTGTGTGTGTGAGGGGTGCTGTATGGTGTTTGGGGTGTAGTGTGTGTGTATGAGGGGTGCTGTGTGTGTGTGTGAGAGGTGCTGTGTGGTGTTTGGGGTGCAGTGTGTGTGTGTGTTTGGGGTGCTCTGTGTGTTTGGGGTGCAGTGTGGTGTTTGGGGTGTAGTGTGAAGTTTGCAGTTCCTGGGGTAGAGATCACTCTCGCGAGGCTGGCGGTCGCGCGAGGGAGCACTCTGCCTGGCTGAGTGCTTCCTCTTCAGCTCCCTCACGCGCGCCGCGTAGGGATGCCGGCGCCGGAAGATGACGTCATCTTCCGGCTCCGGTATCAGTGCGCCGTGCGAGGGAGCTGAAAAGGAAGCACTCAGCCAGGGAGAGTGCTCCCTCGCACGCCCGCCAGCCTGCATGCCCGCCCAGTGATACCAGGGCCAGCCTCGGGGGGCCCTGAGGTGGCCGGCTCCTGGGCCCCCCAGGAGAAGAGGCTGGCAACAGTGAGTACATACCGGGGTCGCAGGGACGGCCAAGCCCCCTGGTGGGCAATGCCCGGTCGCAGCCGCGACCCCGGTATATACGTCACTGTATGTGATTTATGTACTTTTGTACTCCAGAAAGAGAGACCATTTGTTTTGGGCATAGGACCATGTGCACAGTTGGTCAAAATGATGACTTCCATGGTAATCCCAAACCCCTGAACCGACCTGGGTGATTTTTTAATATGTTGGTCCACCAGATCGGGGCTATCAGGAGATATGACTTTGTGGGGTATCCATGTGTTTTAGGGGTACTTTTGGGGTGTTGTTGTGTTGCATGTTTCTTGTACTGAGAGATAATTTAATTATATGTTTGTGTACACAAGTTATTATCTCCCAGGCACAGGGGAGGGATTGACCTATTTTGTATGGGAGTGTTGTGGACCTGAGAGACAATGTAATTGTGTGTATGTTTTTACTGTAGTCTACTCTCAGGTCCAGGGGTGAGTGCCCCTTGCATGGGGACCTGCATATAAGGCCAGTTGTGGCTGCCAAAAAAAGGAGTTCCTGCTTACCCTCAACGTAGAGTCTCATCTCATGTGTGGGGGGGGGGGAACAGCTGTATCTGCTCTGGGGATTGCTATATCACTATACTCCCCTGGGCTTTAATCACTAGCTCTTGTAAGAACTACACTGCTATACTCTCTTGGAGGAGAGGTCTTCTCACTGGGAGCTGGATCCAGGAGTTTGGTCCAGGTGAGAAGGGACGGCGAGAACCCAGCCAAGCTGCGGCGGGAAAGGGGCTCCGGTGCTTATGGTGTTCAGTGCGGTGCTTATGGTACTCGGCGACAGCTAGGAAGCAGCGATTGGTGGAGGCACATTTGGTGGCAAGCGGTGGGATGGCTTCCTAGTGCGAGGAGAAGCATCCTGGAGACACCTGTATCTCGGACAGCGTCCCCATACGAGGATGAGGAGTTCCGTTATGCAATGCAGCAACGACTGTCCCTTTTTAGTTCTGATGTGTAGAGATTATTATTATTATTATGTGTAGAGATTATCAGGGCACTCTAAATCCACATGGTCGCTGTCTTACAAGACAGGAAGGAACACAAGCGTCTGATGGCCGAACAGAGGACAGGGATTACAGGAGAGGGGACAACCGGTCCCTCTTCCCAACCCCAGCTGGAAGTACCAGGAGGGAGGACAGTCGGTCCTACTCCCCAGCGGCAGTAACCGTCACAGGGAGAGGAGACAACCAGTGTAACGGATCGCCTGGCACCCCGACTGGGTACCTCCGTTGCAGGATGCTCCTAGCACTTCCCGAGGACTCCAAGCACTGCAAGCAGACACCACAACCACCGAACCGGAGATGCATACGAATGCTCTCAAGCATATGAATGCTGTAAGCAGCTGAACAGGAAAAGCATACAATCAGCTTACGCTCCTGGCAATCAGCATACAATCCAATTCCCCCAATAACGAGACGACACTTCATTTTAAGGTCAAGCAGAACTGACTGTACTGGCACATACAGCCTCTTTTTTTCCCAATCCACAAACTTAGTACTGCTCACAGGGTTTTACAGAACAACCAATCAATCTGTACAATACACACAGACACTCCCACACAAAATCCTCCCCTCTGCATGTGATATGATTACTGAAAACAATGGTTAATATAATTATCACAGGCAGAGAAATACAGTATCATAAAACACATCACAGGGACCCCAAAACATGCAATAACCCCATAAAAAGTATATCCTTGGAACCGGGGGGGATCTGGGTGAACCACATATCCAAAATTCACCCAGATCGGTTCAGTACTTTGGAAGATACAGTTTAATGCAGATTCTGCAGAACATATACAGGCTAAATGAAAAACAATCACTGTATAATGTGTCCCCTGCTGTATAGTCCAAAACCACTGCACGATGTCTCTGTGCACCAAATACTGGCGAGATGGCACCGTGTTGAAAAGTCCAAACAGTGTCTGTGAGTTAAAATGGCCGCCATCCATTGTTCTCACCATGTACCTCTGATACATGAAATGGTGGCCACCCAGTAACTCCACAGTAAGTCCCCAGATGGTTCTTAAAGGGCCAGCAGCAGCACAGCACAAATCCCTTATGCCCAAATCATGTCTTTAAAGGGCAATACATCCCAGGGGCCATAGTCACATGGCAGGAGGCTGGCAATCAGTCTTCTCCAATGCCCAGTGGCGAGGTCGGTTTCGCCACAACCAGTCTTTCTCCCCAGCGGCAGCCGGAGTTACCCAAAGTAGGGGACCTAAGTAACTTGTCTGGGGAGGACATTCAATTGTCCAGGGCAGATGGGCCTGAGGTCTCTCCCCGGCCCTGCAGGGATGCTGAACAGCCAGCCCAGATACCCAACCACAGCTGGAGCTACTGGGAGTAGGGACAGGCGGTTCACCTCCCCAGCGGCAACTTAACTTACGGGGAGAGGAGACAACTGGTCCCCCTCCATAGCGGCAGACAGCTGGCCCCTCTTCTCAAATACAGGGGGACCTTATAGACTGGTCCTGGTGGAACCCCAACTGGCAGGTGGAGATGGGACCAAGGTCTCTCCACCGGCCCTACAGGGATGCAGGGCAGCCGGCCAAGATCCCCAACTGCAGCTGGAAGCACCGGGATTAGGGACAGTCAGTCCTACTCCCCAGCGGCAGTGTACCATGCAGGGAGAGGAGAGAACTGGTTTTGCTCCCCAGCGGCAGCCGCAGTTACTGGGAGAGGAGATGATCGATCACTCTACCCTACAGCAGAAAGCGTCCTGGGAAGTGGAGGAAACCGGCCTCACCCTCAAGTAGGCAATTCCTCCTCTCAGCAGCAGATTCTCAACCGGGTCCTGGGGGTAGTGGAGGCTGGCGGTCTCCACTAACCCCCTTCCAGTGGAGCTGGCATCAGAGCAGAGTGCCGCTGGCCTCTCCCCACCAAGTAACCACAATGCTATACCTGGGAGTACTAGAGATCCCGGGGTTGATGGACACCTATTCAGCAGCCTTGGACCTATAGGACAAAGCCTGGCACTGGAGGCTACCCAGCCAACTAATTGTTTTTGGGTGGTTTGCCCGACTAACCCAGGTTCCGACCGGCAGCAGGAAGCAGCAATTGGTGGAGGCACCCGGTTGGGATGCCAGGCGGTCCGTCACACTGGTGTCTATAGGGTGGAGTTTAATGACAAGGCAAATTTTCCTCTTAATAAGTGAAATGAGAAAATTAAAAGAAATCCCCCAATCCTTTAGGAGGAAGTGTACGAAATTCATGTGTCTCATCTGCAGGGTATTACAATAATAAAGGGTTTCTGGCCCTCTGTAACTGCAGGTAAGTCACGGCACTATGTCTCTTTCACCCCCACTTTGTGGCAAATGGAGGTAGTTATGGAACAATCAAGCTGGGGATACCAGGATCCTTTATTAATCGGGGGGACTAGCATTATGGCCCCTCCTAATCATAACCTAATAATAAATCATGGCGTATAATGAACATACTGAGCGGAGAGGGGGAGGGGGGAAATTGTCATGTGATGAAATTAATGTAGGCAATGGCCAAACTAACACACAGCTTGTTTATATACTGCAGGGATATAATAACTGCAAGGTTATTAGTGATGGGGTACATTCTATTTTGGAAGAACATAATACAGACATTGAAGGATTTGGTAAAATATAAAATTCTTTCTTGCAGGGAAAGCATTTGGAAGACACATTTAAATGCTTACATGTATTTACACCCCTGGGTTGAAGGGTCAGGAATTAGTTTTGTTTTTTTGTTCAGAAAAACAGGGCATCCCCCTTATTGGGGGCATTTTCATTACGGAGAGTGAGAGATTTGTAAAATTAGCTTGGACAGCCCACCAGCGCTGTCAATCAAACAGCCAAGGACAGTTACATACATAGCTGAAGAGAGATGTTGTGAAGGATCCCCTGGACTTACTTATGTGCCTTCAGTTATGCCCTCTCCCTGCTGTTTTAATATGGTATTCTGTATTCGGTTTTTGGTTAATTATGTGAAAGCTGGTATTCGTGTGAAAGCTGGGATTCGTACACCGAACAAGAGACCACCCTGGGTAGCAATCAGCCTTAGAACGGGAGGAAAACCACAAATTAACTGCTCCTGGGTGGCCGCCATTTGGCATACGAACACGTGGCGAAAACAAAGGATGGCGGCCATCTTAAAACTCACGAACGTGGTCAACGGGCGTACGCATGAATTGCCTGGAACTATTTTCGGCAATGCAACTATACGAACGCCCGGTCTTCATGGAAGTCCTGGATGTATTCGTTCCCCTTCACGAATCAAGCTGCCGTTCGGTAGATAGAATCTACCAAATGAGGGGAACACTTGTATTTATCCAGCTGTACCATACGAACGGTGGTTTTCATGTAGTTAGATGCGAATGGAGATCGGCTCTTGCTACTAATTTCATGGAACTCAAACTCGGACACCTCCACATGGGGAGCCGGTCAAACTTCCACACGATGCGACACGGAAACTACCGAACGGAAATTCGTGAGATTTGGATATGAGACTACCAGTACCCTCAGCTACCCAGGGATGTTAAAATTATATTTGTATGTTGTATAAAAAGATATTTCTGGCCAGCGGATAATTGAGCTTTGTGTATTGTAGAAACTCAATTATCTAGCCTGGCCCAGAGGAGGAGTTTTGTATTGCATAAAATGTGAGTCCTGTGTACCAGTAAATCAGTCTTGTTCCAGCATTAAGCTTTGGCTCATGTGTGGATTATTCGGCGATTCCAGGGATATTTCTACTTGTGGAATATTGGGTGATTTTCTTTTATGGGAAGAAGGGAATGCTTGACGGTGATACCCTATACTACCGTCACAGATGTGTCCTTTAAGTTCAGCCTTTCTCACATCAGTTTTTGCTTTTAATTCAAAAGAAGGAAAAAACAGATTTGAAGCGCTTCCAATTTATCAACAAACTAGGAAATCCCTTATTCTAATTTTATTATTTATATAGTGCCAGCAAATTCCGTAGCGCTGTACAATGCGTATTGTGACCCCAGAATGGCAGTCAGATCTCTCCTTGGATCATGAAACGATTACCCCACTAATTAGAAATTCTATCCCTGTATGTTATGTTTTTGCAAGTATTTATCCAGTTGCTGTTTAAACATCTGTACAGACACCTGTTTCTAGTGCCATAATATCCTTCCTGAGAATGGGTGCCCAAAATTGTGCGGCAAAATTATATTTTCATCCTGAATTAATGCCCTTATTTATAGAACTGCATATTGACATTGCACATTATTACCTAGTTTGTTGTCTATAACAATTCCCAAATCCTTCTCGTGTGTTGTTTTCCCTAATTCACTACCATTTAGGGTGTAAATTGCTTGTGCATTCTTGACGCTGAAGTGCATAACTTTGCAATTTTCAACATTAAATTTAATTTGCCATTTTAGTGCCCAGTCTATTTAAATCCCTCTGCAGCAAAGCAATATCCTGCTCACATTTTATTACTTTACAGAGTTGTGTGTCATCTGCAACACTGAAATATGTCTTTCAATGCTTTATTTCGAGATCATTTATAAACATGTTAAATAGAAGCAGTCCCAAAACAGAACCCTGAGGGACACCACTTACCACTTTTGTCCAGCCTGAAAATTTAACATTAATGACAACTTGTTGTACTCTATCCTTAAGCCAATGTTCTACCCAAGAACAAGAATATTAATCTAGACCAATTTCTTTTAGTTTGAAGACTAACCTATTGTGTGGAACCGTATCAAATGCCTTGGCAAAATCAAAGTACCGTATATACTCGAGTATAAGTCGACCCGAATATAAGTCGAGACCCCTAATTTTACCCCCAAAAACTGGGGAGGGGGGCTCTCATTCCCTGGTGGGCAGCAAGCTGTAATTTACCTTTCCTGCAGCTCCTGTCAGCATCCTTCTCCTGCGTTCCGGTCAGCTCCCTTCTCCTCCACTGTAAGTCTCGCGGTGTGACTGCCGCGCAGAGCGTGCTCTGATCCCGCGGCTCTCGCGAGATTTACAGTGGAGCTGACAGGGGAGCTGACCGGAACGCAGGAGAAGGGAGCTGACAGGAGCTGCAGGAAAGGTAGATTACAGTTCGCTGCCAGCCCCCAACAGGACCGCCGGACTTGTTATGAGCCCGGCGGTCATTGTCTGTATTATGGCAATGTAAGTTGCCATAATACAGACCTTGACTCGAGTATAAGTTTTTCAGCACAAAGCAAGGGGGTTTTTCAGCACAAAGCAAGTGCCGAAAAACTCGACTTATACTAGAGAATATACGGTAGATCACATCCACTGCAACACCCTGATTAAAACCATGCAGATTTTTGCTAATATCAATGTTTTTCCAAATTAATTCTGAATATTATCTCTTAATAACCCTTTCAAATACTTTCCAAGCCACAGAAGTTAAGCTCACAGGTCTATAATTTCCAGGCAAAAATTTTGAACCCTTTTTGAATATTGAAACGACATCTGCCTTCCTCCAATCTTCCGGTACAATTTCCGATAGAAAAGAATCCTGAAAGATTTAAAATACAGGTTCTCTTATTTCCACACTTTGTGCCTTACGTAGTCATGGATGTATACCATCAGGCCCTGGAACTTTCTTTATATTAACTTTCTTTAGTTGCTGCAGCACCTGGTCTTGAGTTCACCTATTACAATATTTCTGCAACATTGCTGTAGCTATCATTTGCACATCTATTGCATATCATATATAGTGAGGAACATAGTTCTTTATAATTGTCTTTTCCTGGTCTTCACTAATACACCCAGATCTGTTTTCAGTGTATGTAGCATGCGTTCTGTGCACACAAGGAAGGATTTTACTCCCCATTCAGGTAAGAGAGCAAAGCTTTGGGTGAGTCACTGTATGACTGCTATCATGTCAAAGAACAGTTTAAATATCCTGTGTGATGACTTGAACTGCTCTCTGGGGATAAACTACACATCCCAGAGTACTATGGGATAAGATCTGCCTCCCTTATCTGGGTGTTGGAGTGTCTGCCAGGCACGCAGAGCGGGACATCAACACATTAAAGGGTGTTTAACACATTGATTGCTGACAATTTGCTCAATACATTATTTATATTTAATGCTTTGAAAACTATTGGATCACAGTTTCTATGGAGGGAAGGAGGGGGTGCCCTGGCTAACACATGTCCATTGATCCCAATTATTTAATTGCACTAGCCCACATCATGGCAAGGACAATGAGCTGGTGTGCATTATCCAGCCTGCCAGCTCCCCCCATCGCGTGTGACAACAGAATGTGAGTTAGTCTGAGCAGGGCCCACAACATCAGTTCCTGTGTGTCCAGCTCGTCTTGTATGTTAGTCCACCTGTTGTACAGCGGAATTTGTTGGCGGTTTAGAAAGAATAATTATAATATGGCTTCCATTAACTCCTTAACAGCCTCCCACTTCAACCCTTTATTTTTACTCCAATTTCGGAGCTAGTCTGACTTGTCACTGGGTTATTTTGGGTCATTTAACCTCATTCTTGGGCAAACTAGAGTTAGTTTTCTGACGCTTCAGTTCCGAGATAACTCGAGGCAATGCAGGGATGTGGAAAATGCAGATAATTTTAATTAAATTGTAATTAATTTGAATTAGTTTATTTTAATTACTATTTGTTCAGAGTTTCTGCATAATTAACATATTGAATTGCCCCCAGTTTTTTTTTTAAATTATGTTCTCTTAAAATTTAGAGTTTACTAAAACATTTAATGTAAATTAATGGTAAGGTGACTGGGCACCAATGCCATTATCAGATTAGAGGCGTATTTACTGAAATAAACCAAAAACAGCAAAGTTAAAACAAGTATAATACACTAAGTATTTTTATTCTATATCGGGAGCTGATAACGTGTAATATTGGCCAGTCTCTTGCCCAGGTGTTTG